ATTTGTTACAGAATAAAATAATAACGACAAGATTATTAGAAATCAGCATGGTATTAGAAAACTACGTTTACAAAGATATACCGATTTCTGAATCGGAGGCTGGGAGGTATATGAACGAGGTAGTCGCATACAAAGTTCATTGTAGCCGGGATCCGCGCTCCTTGCAGGTGAGAGATATAGGAATTGTACCTACTTTTTAAAATACCTATGTACCTACCTAACTGATTTATGCATTTCTGTCAAATCACATTAATGACCAACTACCTACAAGGATTTTTTAAGTGCCATGCTTGCCATGCTTCGGCACGAATGAGTCGGCTCGGCCGGAGTGATACCACGGCCTCACAGAAAACCGGCGTGGAACAATCGCAGCGTTGTGTTTCGCCGTGTGAGTAAGGTTACCGGAGGCCCAATCCTTTCTCTTACCCTCCCCAACCCCTACCTAAATCTTGCTGATTGCTTACCATTAGGTAATCCGTCTGCTCGTTTGTCGACCTACCACATAAAAAAATAGACCAGGCGTTGAAAAATGGTATCAAAAGATTATCCTTGATCTGTGAATCCTTGTTACCTTTCGCGTAACTATTGTGTCCTGAACTTTTCTGTTCATTATCTAAAAGTGTAGTTATTGTTATGGTTGAGGGGAAAAATTGATCCAATTTGTTAAGTAGGTAGGTATCAAAAATCTCTTATTAGATAGTAATCGTTAAGATGATCCTTAATCTTTTTAACTTTAGGAAACATTTTAAGATGTATTGATTTGATCGTTATCATTCGACACGTTTCGGCATGAAAGAGGCCGGCCCAACCAGAATAAAATCACGACCTCAAAGTAAACCGGCGTGTGGAAGCGAAGGCGCTCGCGCGCGTCTACAGTTTGCGCGCAGACGCGCGTCGCCGGGGCGAAGATCCTCTGCCGCGCCAAATTAGTGCGTGGCGGAATGAGCTCCGGCGAGATCTCATGGCAGAGTGGAAGCAGCGACTGTCGCAACCGAGGGCCGGGCACGCTACTATAGCAGCGGTAAGCACGGGCCTGCGATCGGCGAGTAAGGGCAGCTCGCCGCCCGATCAGAACCAGGCCCGAGCGTGCGGCGCGTAGCGTTTCGCGCGCGCCTCAAAGAGCCAACAGACCACCACAGACGGGGCCCTAAAGGGCTGATGTTCAGCGGGGTTGCGGGGTAAGCGCAATTAGGCACCGCGACCTCGGCACAGAGCAGGAGAAGGAAAAGGGGGGTTTTTAGTCAGTAAGAGTCTGACACTCCCTCCCGCCCCGCCCTGAGCGGGAGAAGTCATTTGATGATTTTCCCCTCACAAAAAAAAAGTAAACCGGCGTGAAATACTTATTGCCTAAGCTGTGTGTCACTGCTGACTGTGACCGAAAGATCAGTAGGTACTCCCTCCCACCCAATTTCCTATCCCCAAATCCCCCAACCTTACATGACTATATGCGGGCAATGTGTCCGAAACACCGATTGCTTATCTTCCTACTATCAGGTGATCAAGCTGCTTCTTTATAGCCCACTAAAAACCTTATCAATTTTAGATTATTATATATTTAGATTTATCTTTATCCTGTATGCATAGAGAATCAAACTTTTATAATTTTACCATAGCAACAATACGACATGAACCCGAATTTTATCAAAAGCACTGACGCACAGCAACAAACGGACAAGCTGACAAAAATCAATGTGACCTAACTTCCGTTGAGATGTACCGAAAATAAGGATTCCTGGAAACTCCTTATCATTAAAATCCTCTAGCATATTTTGTTCATTACGAAGTATAGGTACATGTATTCGTAATTTATTATCTAACTGCGTCATAGAAAAAAAACTGTCACAGAAAAAATCTAATGCCTTTCCTTTTACCTTTCTTTTTACTTTCAATGCTCGAGTTATAGTATGCCAATGTGGCTTAAAAAGGTAGATATGTTCCCAGGTAATTAGATACCTATCTACTGTTCTACCACTCAATGAGCACCACATTCTTTCTTTCTATATATCTTTGTAATCGCTAGCATAGCACGTACGTACTACTTAGATATTAGGTAATGCCAATAAGATATACTATACTCGGACTTTTAATTCCATTCCAGATTTGACAATTTCAGTGTTGCAACGTTATGACACGTAATAAATAGTGACGTTGCGAAATTATTCGATATGGAAATCGAATATTTCTGAATCGATTCCTCTCGTTTATAAATTTACTCTCGTAAACTAAGTTTATCAGGAAATAAAATATTTCTGAACCGATAATTAAGTTTTGACAATTAATTAACGATCTGAGACTTTTCTTTTGTAATTGAGTGTGAAATTAATAAAAAATGTGATCATGAAGGAACGTGACAAATAAAACAGACATTTTATAAATTGTCGCCGTCATCGCTATCGCTATTGCCGTTACTCTATGTAACATTTATTATGAATTGTGTCTTTGATATTTATTGTCAATTAACATATCTAGCTTACTCATTTTTTCCTCTTCTTTGAAAACATGAGATACGCATTTAGACCATTCGGTAGCCGTAATTTTTTTAATGCTTTCCTGAAACTGATTCACTGATTGTTTATCGATTTTTGTGTTCATCACTACACTGTTAAATGTGGTATCATTATTTCACAAAATGACAGTGGTCAATGTCAAATCAGGAATCGAATTAAAAGTCTGACTATAGGTAATACTCGTACTAACTCTAATAATGGCATATTTTTACTTACCTATTCAATTTTATTATTGATGGTGCGATGTAGATAAATACAGATCATATTGTGTCCTATTCACAATAGCGCTTAAAGAATTAGGTACTTAGGTAACTAATAACTGAATTACCCAAGATTCTTTAATAGCTAACATTTCTTTTGTTTGTTCGTGCAGGCATTCTCCTGTAGAAATTTAGTGTTCTTGCCGAAAGCATTCCATGGTGATAGAGATCGGAGCACTCTGACATTTTCTTCCTTTGTCCTTAAACATCTCCTCTCTTAAATATTATGCCTTAATTTTATATCCATTTGTGTCGTTACTATGTAGTCTATAGGTCCTCAAATTTTTTCACTAGGTAGGGACATAATATACACATCGTTCCAAGAAAGTGTCCAGCCCAGTCTATAAAATAATTAGGCAATGTAGACGTTTAGAATAGCCCTTTTTTGCATAGGACATAGGATGTGATGCCCACAAGCGCCTGTACTTCCGAACGGATACTCAGGGGCGTACGCTAGATATCAAATCTTCTCAGAATTGCATTCTATTATTTTTCCCTTTAATAAAATAGTTAATTGCGTTAAATAATTATAGATTATGGAGTTTTCCTACGTATTACATGACGCTTTGTTTATCCATAGAGCTGCTGATAACGGCACCGAGTGCAAAAATAATATAAAAAATGTTATTATTCGTCCTCTAACAGATATGAAATATAAATTTAGAATCGTTTTCAGGTCACCAGTACCAGCTAAAATAATATCAAATTTTCAGTGTCCAAATGGTACAAATATATTTTTTTCTTATTATTTGAGTCATTTATTTTATCGGTGCCCATGCCTAAAATGTAATCAACATAAAATAGATAACAGAGTAGTTAGTAAGGGAAAAACTTAATGGCTAAAGTTGAAAGCAAAATCGCAAGATTTCTATAGTTGGACGAAGCGAATTTACTTAACTTTGAAATTGCATATTTATTTTTTATGATTTTATTCGTATTTTTTCTGTAAGTAACTTTTGGAAAAGTTAAGTTAAGGGTCATCTTATAAACACCTATATATAAAATAATCCATGGGGTTGTGGTAAAATAACCCTAGGGATCAATTCGTACCATAGGTTTAATAAACTATCAACGAAATAAAACAGCCGCTATTTTTACCATAATTATGTATGGTTCATAACAGTTTAAGTATGTATGCAAGTTCACAGAACTTTAAGATCGTCACCACGATGAAGGCGCCGTTTAGTAGACAGGGATCTACTACCGCACAAGGTTCATGTACTCGTTTAAGACACGCACTTAATTCACCCTTCACCTTTATTTTCTTTGGAGTAGCTTTCAGTACAGATGAGGCATTCGGTATCACTCTCCTCTTCTGAAGAATTTTATCTGCTTTACAATATTTGTGTTCTTTCTTTCCGTTTCTCCCTCCTTTCCCAAATTCCTTTTTCTTTCCCACCACCTTTTAATTTATCGTTCATTCGTTTTTTGGTCTCCGTTTTTTCATTTATTTATTTATTTATTTTGTTCGATATCTGTTTTCTCTTTGGCTTCTTCTTCAAGGTAGGTAATTTTGTAGTATTGGCCTTAGTACTGATGTGTCTTATAGCCGCTTATTTTTCAAATATGTTTGGTTTTGATCGTACTTCCCTGACGCTGAGGTTTTTTCTGGGAAGGATGATAATTGCCACGATGACTGTAGTTTTTGAGAAGATGAAATGGATCCGAAGTGTGAAATGGAGACAGCTGAGGTGTTAAAATTATTAAGGGATTCTTAGATATCTGTTTGGGTTGGGTTGGGTAGGTTGTAGTTTTCGATTCTAGATTACTCGCTTGAGAAGAAGGTATCTGCACGGTTTCTGCTAATAGACTTGGCATCTAAGGGGAGAGGGACTGGAATAGGTGGTTCTACCGTGTCATTGTCAACATCCAGGTCAGTCGTTTCAGCTGCAACGACATCCATAGGTATTAGTGACATGTTTGGTCAATATTCATATCCAATTCATTCAGACCATACAAAAAATACAAATTCAGGTAAAACGAATTCAGGCTTACCTTAGATCAAAGCTACACTTTTTAATATTTTTCGATAAAATCAAGCAAAGCGCTTCCATCGCCATGTTACATGGAGAGGCAACTGACACGGGCCTGGGGAACTTGTTTCATGCTCATATGGATAGATGCCACTAAGTTATAGGGGGACCATTTGACCTCCAGGGATCGTATTACCTTCCACAACATTCCCCGACTAACAACATCATAATTTCAGGTGATTGAAAAGTTAACTCGCTGCATGAAAGCTATAATACGTGATCACCAAGAAAATAGAAATGACACTAACCACGACAGTCCCATAGAAGCTGGTGATAATAGAAGCACGTCCATATCGCCCGTTTATTCAATGCCTGATGAAGATAGATACCAACTAACTCAAGAACCCGAGCAAAGACGTAGCGACAATGCAGAAATGACTCCAGATATAGACATTATTGACTTGACTAATATTGAAGATGAGGAAAATTTCAATAATAAAGACACAAATACCCAAACAGGATTAGAATATAATATTGAAGTTGAAATACATAGAGGTATATCCAAGTTATCTTTGCAAGATATTGAACGTAGTTTGGAGGATAAAACTGAAGATACACAATGTTCGCAAAGTATATTAAACAATTTTGAAAATATTGATTATGTTCAGCAGAATAAAATAAATAGTATTATAACTGAACCGACTGTTTCTGCAAGAGTTCTAAGCAATATCAATAAACCTAACAACGTATTCCAGACTAGTCACTTGTGCAAAAGTGTATCTGCTAATAAAAACAAAAATAATAAGAAATCCCGTATTAAAATAAAGAAAGGGACAGTTCCAGAAAGACCCAAAACTGTTTGCAAAACAAAAGATAATTTGACTAAGACCACAGCTGCCGTTGAAACTGGCGTAGAAGGCGTCAAAGTTTATGTTTTAAATAATAAGAAATCAAACTCAAACAAATGTTCCATCACAAACAATTTTGAAAGTCAAAGACAAACTTGTCAAGACACCAAAAGGACTTGTACTATAAATACTTTGAATCAAAATGAACACGTAACCCAAACTCCCCAAAATAAAGTAGATAAGTCAATTCGTAGCTCCGAAGTAACTTTATCAGACTGTATTACTCCAACCAATTCATACCACGAACTAACAAAAAGCAGCTATTTAACTACCTGTGATAACAACCCGAAGGCATACATTAATACACAAAATGCACCAAATTCAAAAGCCATTCTTCATTCATTCAAATCTGTAGCTTCTAAAAAGATAAGAACACATCGCAAAAAGAAAGATACCGTTATTGCCAAAAATACACCTACACTGAAAATAAAAAATAAAAAAGAGATCATAACATCATCTGATTCAGAGCAAAACAAGAATGTACCAATTTATAATGAAAACGTTATCGATGATCTATCGTGGATAGAAAATATAAGGTACGTCAGGGAAATTGCTGCAGACGAAAGCGACTGTAAACTGCAATTAGAAGATGATTTTTGGGACAATTATTATTTGCCCGCCAACTGGGGTGACAACCAATTTGCGTAATGCACCACACTTTCACATAATATTTATATTTTATTTCTAAAGGGATATATATTACACCAAATATTTTCCAATTTTGTTATAAGCCGCATTTATTGAGAATACAAGCGTTTTTAAAAAAAACTGAATATCTGATCACTTATTTGACTAGCCCGGACACTAGAATAAGGCAAAATACATCTAGGATTTTTGTCCTGAACCTGAGTCCTGATGGAAATCGATATTATTATTTCAAAGTCCAAATTCGAAACAGCTACAATATAATTTAAGCAACACCAAATTATTTCTGTTATCGATGACGCTGTCAAAATCCCAAAACAAAGAGTAGGTTTATAGTTTTTTAATATATTTTAATGAGGTTACGTCCTAATTGACCGCCTTGTTCTTCTAAAACTATTGTCTATGTAAAATAAAACTACAGAATAAGATTTCAATATTTAATAGGTAAAGATAATAAGACAAACTTCAATGACACCAAAGGATATACAAACAACAACATAACTATTTATATATTAGTTTATTATGTATTTTGTTAAATTATACTTGCTTTCATAACTTAAATTAGTTTTCTATACTAATTGTTAGAACCATTATTTATTGTTATGTAGGCCTAGAATAAAGCGTCTTATGAACAAGGGGATACAAACTTGAAGTTTTTTAATTAATGCCCCACTTGGAATAGGATAATTTCCAACACTTTTGCCGAAATGTCAAAAAAGAAAATTTTGTATGACACGAATTAAATTACACTATCTAAAAAAAATCATGATTCATGATCAGAAATATCATGACTGCACGGTTGGTGCGGAGGCTAGGCAACTGGCTGCCGTGCAACATGTCGCGGGTTCGAGACCTGCACAGAACAAATCTTTGTGTTATCCACAAATTGTTGTTCCTGGTTTGAGTGTCATGTATGTGAAATTGTATGTTTGTAACCGCACCTACGACACAAGAGAAAATCCTAGTGTGGGGCAACGTTTTAAATAAAAAAAAAGACAAAATCAAGAATATTAAGTAAGTCGTAAAATTAATGATTTAAGGTGTAATAGTGTATTTTTTGCCTAAATAAATAAAAAATTAAATAGCTTCACTAAGAGGACTGACCGACAGACTGACACAATTTATTCAAAATTTTGTTTTGACGTTCAAAAGTGCCTGTAAAGGTCTAATTGGAATAAATGATTATTGACTTTTACCTTTTTTTTACTTTTGACAGAAGGGAATGTCTAATTTAACACATGACCTTTTCTGTATTTCAATTGAAAAGTGCCTGATATTTTAACAGTAGCCAACTAATTAGATGTTTTCTAATCATCATCTGTCATCACCCTTATTATTACTGTTTTTAAGTATGTAAATAAATAATAGTAATATCGGTTTTTACCTTGACATTCAGCATTATGATTCGGCTGCAATTCAATATAATTTTGAGGTTTATTGAATCTATACTTTATTCTTGGAATTATAAGGTACGTTTTTATTTAAGAACGTCATCGGATTCAGAGAATTGTTTACCTTCGTAAGTTCCGATTACTTGATTGAGGTCAGTTTATGATTTTTATTTAGGTAAAAGGTTTTGTGATTTTAATTTCGCTTTTTTACAAAACAGGATATAATCATTTACGGTGTGTTTTCTATAACAAATAATAGGTATAGTCAAAGGAGGTAAGTTACTTTATATCCTGTATTAAATTATTTATCAATAGTAGTAACCATTAATTTTTTCGAGACCACTTATAGTATAAACTAGCGAGATTGATCGTTATGCTACAGGAATAAGATTTAAAATGACTTTATTATTGAAATAAGAATTAACTATACACTATTACAGAACAATCGATTCATATATGTTCCAAAAATATTAAGTATTCAATATAATTTACATTATATCAGACCTCAAAACAGCCAATTTTAACAATTTGAAATGTTATATGTATTTTATATTTACAAGCAAAAACCCACCAAATACAGATTTTGTAAGAACTGGTCGACAAATAAAGTACGTTTTTATTACAACACTGTTTCTCAAAAACAAACTAAGTACAAAATTATATACATACAGTTACATAAACCTTTATATGTTACATAAATATGTATGTTAATTTAAATAAATCTATAGTGTATGAGTGTAACAAAATAAAATATATTTTAATAAAATAACATTACATATATTCCGGTCTTAGACCATCTATTAAGTTTTACATAAACATTGGTATAACACATATTTAAAATCACACTTTCTATGCCTTTTACGCGGTTCTGAATAGGCAAAATTTCCACAATCGCTTCGAACAGCATACAGCATATAACTAAATAAGTAGTACACTAAAAACTCTATTAATAGCTAACATAGTAAACCTTCTAGCTTTTTATAGTAAATAAATAAATTTTAAAATGCTTATTTTATTAATAGTAGATGTATAAGACAATGCAATGAACATTTACGAAGAAAGCTTGATGTCGAAAAAAATACAACTTCAGGATTGTCAATGAGAAACAATTTATTTCCAGCTTATTGTATTGCTTTTTTAAAGTGAGAATTGGACTATTATCATGACACTGAAACTTTAATTTGAGCCTAAATCACAATATTTATACTCTCAACACGTAATTGTATGTAATAAAGACAAACGAACATTCTAAACCACATCAACCTTAATTATTATGTTTTCGGCTTACTCACGTAATAATTTGACGAGATACTCGACTAGTTTCAAGAATGCTGCTCATGAATATGGGCCTCTAGCATGGCTTGAAACTAGTCGAGTATCTCGTCAAATTAGTTCGTGAGTAAGTCGAATACATAATAATTAATATAAAATGTCTCACGAAAGTTATAATAAAAACACCAACCTTCACATACTTTCTTATAATATTTTCTACTAATGAAATAAAACGCCATACACAACTTAATATAAAAATCACATAATTTCTGAGCAATAGTATTTACATTAAGTCAGCACTAAATAAAATTATATTTTAATATTATTATGACATTGGAAAATATTGGATGAGAACAACAAAATCTTGCGTTTTATTATTTTCAAAGGCTTATAAAGAAATGCATTAAAATACCACCGCAAATTATATTATAACTACATTGCATCTGTCCCTTTCCCAAGTTAATTGGCCTGCCGTTTCAAACGGCGAAATAATATCTAAAATCTGTCTATATTGTTATTAATTTCACATCAAAAAAGCGAGTTAGGTACGAAAAAAAAAATATTATTATTACCAATTCCTTGAACAGTTTTATGACTAATATTTTTATTAATTTAATTTCCAATTGAATACTGATAATTTTGCTGCAAGTAACAGCTTCTAAACTACTTATATACGTTCATAATATGTACTTGTGTACATGAAGGTTATAAATGTATTTTCTCCGATATTTAACTTTCTCATTGTAAATAAATAAGCTGCGTTAACGACAACGCTTCTATATACGCAACATCTGCGTGTCACAAAGTGCGAAAACTCTTATGTAATAAACGCCGTACAACTTGAAGAGTTCAAATATACCTAATTGTTGGTAACATAAGTTCTAAATAGACTATCATAGGTTTTAGATTCGTATACTCCCATGATTTTGAACTCAATGTACACTGCGATAAGGTTTCGATTTACCACGTCTTTTATTTTATATAGGGTGTTTAAACTCTCAATGACAAACTTTTATCAAACGATAGAGTAATGAATGACTGCCCAGGGTAAAAATAAATATATTCATTTTTAGTTTCAAAAAAATAAACATATTTTATATTAACGCTTGATGCTTTAAAAGTATATGTACTTATGTATTTTATATATATTTACTATATTTTATGCAAAAGCTACAATCAGCTATTATATCTACATAACATATTACTTCTTTCTAATGTCAATCATTTTTATAACTACATATATTTTCGAGACAAATCGATTTATTACTACTAAAAGAAGAAGACAACAGATAAATTCCTTATTATTATTATATATCTTAGAAGAATAACAATCAACAATTTAATCATGTTGAACATTATGAATGCGAGAGAATATTTCTTTGTTTTTATCTCATAAGAAAGCGCGCCTTTCGTGATTGTTGTGTTTATAGATTTTCGATTGCCTGATGGTAAGCAATCAGCGCCGCTCATGGACACCCGCAACAACGGAGGAGTTACGGGAACGTTGTCGACCTTTTAGCCTTTTGGACATTTAGGGATTGGGGGAGAGGGAGGATGGGGCCTCCGGTAACCTCACTCACACGGCGAAATTCAATGCTGTGGTTTTGTATCACGCCGGTTTTCTGTAAAGGCGTGTTATCACTCTTGTTGCACTAGTGTTTCTTAGTTGGTTGCCTTCGTTTAGTTAAAAATATTACAATCAGAAAACAAAACGAATTAACGTTTCAATAAAAAAAATTAAACATTACTTATTTCTCAGAATAGATACAAATGCACACTTCACACCAAGTGTTTATTACAATATAATTAAAGAACCATGCAACACAACACTGAAAATACAACAAAAATAAATTTATATAATTTTAAATTATCACAAACAAAGTAGCTAAATTCACCTAAGTCAAAATGCATCCAGCAGATCCCAGCCAGGGTTGTGAGCGAAAGCAGTAGAATGTACCTTAGGCCAACTTGGAGTAGGAAAATGAACGGGGTGAAGTTTAGTCAGTAAGAGTCTGACACTCCCTTTCGTCACATGCAAGGCCGGAAGATTTATTTATATTTCCGCCCTTATAAAAGTATCCCTACATAACATAAATGCATTATAGGATTTTATTAATCAATCTCCTGACCTCTCTAAGCAACTGACAGGGCGATTTAAAATTTAATTTTCACATTAAAAATGAGCTTGTATTTCTTTGCGCTTCTAATAAGCCATTTGGCAAAAACTTCATCAACATCAATCACCAATCACATTCAACTTCTTTTTTTAAATATTTCATATTATGTACTAAGGCTTATGACGTACGAAACATTATGTAATTCAACAATTAATTTTAATTTTTATTTGATTATAATAATATTTCTTGATTAATTAAACGTTTTGTGGAATCTTGTTACCTTTATATTGTAATTTCTAATAAATAATAATGTGATTTACAGCGTAATTTAAATAAATATGTGATCAATAATAATAATTAAGTTATAAAAAATCTAACAGTTGTTGTTCATAGAGTATAAATAAAATTTTACATGAATACAGGAAATCTTGTATGTAAATAATTTTAGAAATACTTAAAAATTAAAAAAAATAAGTATTGTGACGATCACTTTCGAAATCTGAGATTCGGCATCGAGCAGTATTTCGAGCATTCCTTGTTTGTTGTTAAATTAAAATTTTGAAAAAAATTTATTACATGGACCATTGTCACACACATTAAAGCACTGATAACGTTTATTCAATAAACATGACAAGATTCCAATATTTATGCCAAAAATTTACTAATGAAATGAGCTTTAGGGACATACTATTCGATTATTTTTAAATTGTGTTTGAGCTCTATGTCGCCTGGTGGTAGACGATGATATGGCCAACAATGCAGCGAGATTACCTACACAAAACCTATGTACTCAGGATTTGGACTCAATATAGCTAATAACATAATCCGCTCCAATAACCAGGCAATCAAGAACTTCCAAATCGAAATCATTTCAATAATGCATTATCAGTTTTATTCGTCTAACTACGGCCGTCCCGAACCACTCGAGTGGTGTACTAATAGTACCAGCACTATAGAAATTAACCGTTGAGATATACCTTTAGTTAGAAGCTGAATTTGCCTCGGACTTTGAAGAATCCCATGCTAGTCTTGTTGTGAAGCAGTGACGTCACACCTACGTAACTCTGTATAACTATGGGGGAATGGTGTATACAGCACGCTGATGACGTCATGTTTTCTATCGCCCTTTGCAGCTTGATGGCGAATGTTTCCATGTCATACGTTGCCTTTTCTTCTGGACCACCCTCTGTAAAGTATTTAATGTATCATCATATCATCATCATCAGCCTATAAGTGCCCGCTGCTGAGCAAAGGCCTCTTCTCATACGGAGAAGGTACAGCATTAATAACCAAGCTTGCTCAATGCGGGTTGACAATTTTATTTACCTTCACCGTATGTCAGTAGTGTCTAAATAATTATAGGAAGTACATATAACTCGGAAAAAGTCACATTGGTACTGGCCAGGTTTCGAAGCCACACCCTCATGCATGAGAAGCGGGCTAATTAACTTCCGGCCACCACGACATGTATTTAATGTGCTATTAATAAATTAAGTGTGAAAGAGCCACGCTTCGAAGCGAATAGGACGGCTCGACTGGAGTGACACCACGGTCTCACAGAAAACCAGCGTAAATAAATCACAGCGTTATTAGTGAGAGTGTTGCCATGTCAGTGAGATTACCGGAGACTCAATCATCAATAAATTAAGAACACCCACCTTTATGCCAGAAGATGGGATGTGAGGCGAACGTGAGGAATGGCACATCTTGGCTGAACGGGTTCCACACTGTCTTCAAGGGTATAGGCTCGCCCTTGTTCCACATCAATCGCACTCCCCGGAGGTGGCGCTCTCTATAATCATATGGGATTCATTATTAGTTATAAGATATTAGATTAATTTCTTAATTTTGATGTTAGCTATGAAAACAAGTACTTGATTTAATTATTTATTTGAGATAGCTCGACAAGTATGGTTTTCCAAATTCACATTTTTTTTAATGTAAGAAGTTATGTAATTTTACGAATCATGATTATGACTTAATCGTTTGTTTGTGACTACTTCATTAATAAAAAAAACCAATGAAATCTTGATATTTCTGAATATTGCTTCCAAAGGTCAGTAGCAATAATGTTCTGCAGCCCCAACCTGGATAGCATGAGAAGAAACATGGTGGTTTTAAGTGAGTAAGGGTCTTGCACTGCCACTTGTCCAACCCAGGGCAGGAGAAAAAGATAGGTGACATTTCCCTCAAAAAAAATTGTGTTGGTATGAGTAATCAATAAATAATATATTATTATGTAACTGCGAATCCAACCCACCGTTTCGTTGTTACTTAAACAAGACAAAATTTATAAATTCAACATGGATCAATAATGATAAAAAACAGTCATCAAAATCTATAACATTATATAATACAGAAAATAGCATCAACATTAAAAGTACTAAAACAGAGATTAATTTAAGATGGCAATTTATATTTTTAAAACTACATTTTAACACTAAATACTAAAAAAATAGCATCTAATATGAAACGTTAAAGACATGCATTCAAATTATTAATGCAAAGCAAAAATGAAGTAACAGCGTTAAAATGGCATTATTAGTCTAGCGATATTGAACAAAAATCGGTTAAGTATTTGTTTGTTGGTAAGTAATTTATAAAATAGCATGCATTGAAATACAAACGCCGAAAAGTATTACCCGAACTATAAATTCTTGTTAGATTTTAACAACTTTTAAAATCTGTATTCGATATTACCTTTTTGGAAGTCTGTTAGCAGTTTTTCTCTTCAATGACTAACAACCCCAAAATATATGCAATGTTTCGATACTATTTTTGTATCGGTGTTGTAGAATAATTAGAGTGCACTTTTTTAGGTAATAGACTTACACTTGTAACATCATAATTAAATAAGCCTTTTCAATTACCTATAGTTAAAACACTTTTCAAGCTATAATTTTCATTTCACACAAATAGCGAATTATTTACTCAATACTCTCATAAATGCAGTAAATATAAGTACAAAAACATTTCTTTTTCATTTCAAATCGAAATCGATAAAACTTTCTATTTGATAAAAGCAAAAGGATTAACAATAGATATTTTTTAAACAAAATCTACACCCAATAGCAAGCTGGTACACATCATTTAGAATTAATTAGAAATAATAAATTATTATTATTAATATCCTGTTTGTGTACATTCATGAATATCCTTCACGTTCACTTCAATAATGATAATGAACAATAAAATATTACATCTTCTCATGTTCAAATCAGAAAGATGAATGACTGAAGGTAATATTATATTGATATTCAAACAAAAGAAGAATGGATACATAATATCCATAGCTCCTATAATTAGCCTGGGTTGTGGGTGCAACGCAAGCCCGATAATGTACTACGACCGCGGCCCGGTAGTATTACACTCCCTTACGCCCAACCAGTGGGTTTTAAGAGTATTACACTCCGTTACACCCAACCAAGAGTGGGAGAAGTCATTTGACAAATTTCCCACGTCAGAAATGCCTTAAACATTTACTTGTATTATATCATGTATGTATGCAATATGTCCATCCTAAACTAAAATTACCCCGAATTACACACTAGCGACATCTAGAGTAAACAAGCACTACAAAAAAGGCAGACTAGTGTATGTTAAGTATAAGTTAAAAAATGAGTAAAAAAACTAAGCTTAAGCTACGAAAACAACCCAAAAAAAAGCTATGACATGTGTATCCTACAGCAACAGAAAGTACCTAGGTTCAAAATACTTGGGATCGAACAGTTTGCTGTTCTGGTGTTCGACTTCTTCGTGGGAGGGGCGCCGACAGAGGCGGTCGATGACGCAATCTTTCACGACCGTCGTTACCCCCGATGCGATGCCGTTCAGACGACTGTCCACCAACACATTTGCATAATTGTTAGGAAGTACCCAATAGCTACCTTTTTTAACACAATAAATCATGCCTATAACAACTTTGTACAAAAAATACAGTAAATCTGTTAGAGTCTCGTAAGTATTTCAAGTAGACGTCTAAATCAATTCTGATTCTGTTGTTTATCTACTGATTATTTCCTAAATTAATTTTAACGCTATGAGATCAGTTAGCCTGTCACATACATTAAAATCGTACCTATACATGTTTTATTAAAAAAATAGTAACTCAATGAAACGAGGAAGTATCGAAATGAGCATAGATATATACATACGCATACATATGTATAATTATTACACCACATTACCTAAACAAAGAGAAACGATATTATTTTTTATCAATAAAATTAAGCTACGTACATTGTTGATTGTACTTGATAAGCAAAGAAAACAATACCTAACATGAAATGTTAACATTTTCCTAGTAACGTTTTGTAACTCGCATAAAACATATCAAACAAATATAATTCTTACTAGTGACTCGGGTGCAATGTCTATACCAAATTTCTTTACGATTTAATGAATGTTGGACACACACTTTCCTCTGCAACCGGTCTATCTATTAAAAACCGCATCAAAATCTCTTACGGAGTCTCAAAGATTTCAGCATACATAGACATACAGGAAGGGTTAGGTTATGTAGTGATTCTATTATTAATACCGATTTTAATCCAAAGATAAGTAAGGAGACAGGCTCAATATCTATTAATAAAAGAATTTATCAAATACTATACAGATAATATCATCAAATCAAACGTGAATATACATGATTCGGGAAATACCCCAGATGGTAAGCAGACTTTTAAGTACAGTCGAGTCGAGTTAAGAGGCAATTTTTGAATGCCCTTTTTTATTTTTACCCCAGACTAGGATTTTCTACTGAGCCGTGGGTGTGTTTACAAACATACATTTGTGATGTGAAACACATACACATCACACTCAGACCCGAAAGAACAATACGGTAGTTTCCAACTAGTTGAATTCAATACTTTTATCCAAATGTCAAAAGACGATACATTTCTATGAAATTTGTATGAAAAACTGAGTTACGACGTCATCGTATTTTTGCGTCAAATAGCTTACTTATTTCTTAATAATTAGCTAAAAAATAATGTACCCGCATTCATTGGAGTCCAATGAATGCGGGTACAATATGCTCATGGCGCCTTTTTTACCATAAAAGATTATTAGTTAGCAAAATTCAAAAAGAACATACCTAACGAACGGGAAGTTGAATGAACATGAATTTATATTAGCATCGATTATTTAGTTCGAGAAACAAAAACGTTGAAGGCTAAACTAAATTCAACTTGCGGCTTTCAAACGCTCCAAAACCAGTTCTGCTTTTAACAAAAACATCAGCTTACTAGTCAACTATGTATTGGATCTAAATCTATGACTTTCGGCACAAACTCTGTGTTATAAATATTACTTTGTTTTCAGGTTCTGGTTTTTAGTTTTTCAGGTTTTGAGTGGCTTCGCTCGCGTTATCCTGTTGAAAAATATCCTAAGCCAATTTTAATCGAAAACCATTCAGAATTTTCTACGTGAAACAGTAATAATATATTCTTACAAAGTTTTCGCGTTTATAATATTAGTAGGATTTTGTATTTCTTTCTTTAGTTAAATGAAGAGGCTTTTTTCGGCAGTGGACTATTCCCGGTTGATGACAAAATACGTAACAATATAATATCGATGGTTTTCGCACTTGGTTATATTTTATTTAAATCTATCTGTCAGCCTAAAGGAGTAATGAGAGATATGTTATTAAGTATGTTATTTAGATGTTATTACATAATAACATCTCTTAGGAACATACATCCCGATTTTTATAATATAATTACATCATTATAGAAAATAATTATAATTTTGTTCAAAGATCAATACAGATCTATTTTTATACTACATTGTTAAACTACCTATTTTTTTTTCTCTTTAAATTTTGACCTTTTTTCTCTATGGAGAATTTCATATGCTAAATTGTATTGTTGTATAGTCAATAAACAGAAAAGTTGTAAACAATACCTATAGTCTCACCTACAGGTTTTCTGAAACTATCTAATTCAATCACAATCCACCACCACAGTCACATGTTTTATCTATGTTCATGAATTCTCTTACACCAAGTTACTTAAAGTTAGCACAAAATATGTACACCTTTATAGAAAAGTGAGATAAACAGAATACTCACGGCACTAAAGATGACGGAGGATAGACCAGGTCTCCAATGACAATGGTGTCCAGGTCATCTAAGTATGTCTTCTTGAAGTCGAGCTGCTTCATTGCTATGAAGTCATATTTGATGGTCATCACCAGTCTAGAGGTCAGGAGTACAATCCTCTCTTTTTCATTGTCCCATAGAGTTATTCTGAAATTGTTAGAAAATTATTTTCATTTAGACTTATTAAAATACTTTAAACTGGTTTCTGAATATGGCTAGCCCGCATTTTGTGTTGGTAAAAAGCAGCCTATGTGTTAACACAGTGTAACACACGGAGTAAGAACAAAGAGGAGACGGCCTAAACAACTCGGCCCTGTGACACAAGTCGGCCCTCACGTCATCAAGGTGGGCGTGGCTTACGTCAGTGTAATGTGGTCGTTCGTCCTGTACACAACTTCGATATAATATTCATTTTACTCGTCACAGAAGAAAACAAAATGAAGCTTTGTGTTTAATCTTGTAAAAAATACTATGATAAACGTTACGGTGCTATGGATGGCATCACTTTTCATGTATAACTTATTTTATTCGTCATTTATTAAAATAGTTCTAGCAAAGTCTCTTATTGTCAGCGTTTCCAATTATCAATCTACGCGACACTAGATGTCGACACTTTGTATCATAGAAACAAAATTTTTATAGGTACGCATAGTTCAGTATTATTATATTTTAATGATCGTTTGTATAGTAATTTGATCGACATGCATTCCTAAAGATCCTTTAATCGCCAAAATATTATTTATGTAACTTTTATATCATTTTATAAACAGACAGCCATCTATTGTCAAGTAGTAAAACATAAATAAAGACAGGGGAGTATTTAGGAGTCAATTACTTTTTAAGGTTTATATCGTTGATTTATTTAATTCGCCAATGGAATCACTCAAATTTCACCCACCCCCTCACCGCACGCTGTGAGAGCTAAATCATAGTGCGTGAGTGTTTGAAACTGAAGGACCTTATTTATACTTCTGCAGTTCTTCTTCGGTTTTTATTTCAACCCCAAATTAAGGGCATCAGGACTTGGGTCATACAACTCAGATGTATCGTAGGTTAGCTTAAGAAATGCCCATAACACACTCTGTCCTTCGTACATATCTTTCGTTCTATTCTTCGTTTATTTCGAAATATGTCGTCACATTAGGGCTAATTTTGATTGATACAATGGCGAATAAAAATCACTAGAAGCATTTAATCGAACCATGCAAAATTTAGGTACTCAACAGGTTTTTGGTTGCCTGTCATTCCTCGATCAACTCCTGCTGATGAAAACCCTGTTTGAAGTCATCAGTTAATTGGAGATATATATGAGTTGAGTTTTTGTTGTGTTACCCATGAGTTTTCAAAACAATTATTAGAAACTAGCTTTTGCTCGCGACTTTGTTCGCGTGGAATAGTAGATTTTGGGTTTAAAAACTAACCTATGTCCTTTCTCGAGTTCCAAACTATGTCTGTACCAAATTTCACTCAAATAGGTTCAGTAGTTTAGGCGTGAAGAAAAGACAGACAGAGTTACTTTCGCATTTATAATATTAGTTTGGATTGGTGATGGCAAAATACCAATCGACAGTACCGACGGATCGATCATTTTACCGAATATTTTTTATACAATTGCGCAATCTATAGATGAGTTGATTGAATGTGTTTTTCCGAATATTCTTCAGAATTGCAGGAATGATTAGTTCAGAGAATGCACTATTAGACAATAGCACCGAAGAACATTTATATTAATGCCATTAATTTTCAATAATATATCATTTGACTCATTTGGAATTTTACATAGAAAACAATATCAAAAAATTTTTTGTTTGATTAAATGGACATAATAGTATATTTTTGATAATATTTTATTATACACTTAAACGTAGTGAAGCACGTACCGGGCCGCTGGTAGTTATATCGTAGATAGAGGACTTTTCCCTTCAATACCTATGAAGATACACATGAAGTCTTTTATTTCGTCGCCGAATCCCTGAATCATATGTTTGAAGATGGCACCAGTCTAAACGCATATGCCGTTTCGAGTTACACATTAGTACAGTAATGACAAATCTAATAATAAAACTCGTCATCACAAAGAATCAGCTATCAGCAGGGCATCAGCCTCTTGGTAGCATAGTATACGAGTTTCTGCCTCAGGCTACGCCCTTAACGGAATAACCCCTTATAAATGAAAAGGATGTTACAATAAAATGGTTTTGATAATTAATGTAGAATGATCCTCATTCACCAATAACAGTATTACTATTTCGATAAAAAAAATATGTATCAAGATGATTCGCAAAGGTATTTAAAAAATAACTCTCCGGTAATTCTAAGTACGACCCTGTTGCATTCTGCATTTAGTGACATCTATTGTGAAATAGTTACATACCTACAAAACGAAGTAAATTGCATGAGAGGGTAGTTTTGCTATTGACCGGCAGATGGCAAATAAAAAGTGGGCGGAGTCTAATACCCCCCTCACCCCGCAAAATATCACGCGGTGTTTCTTAGGGAAATCTAATTATGGCATCTCCTCTTTGTTCTTACTCCGTGGTGTAACACCTACTATATACCAAATTGGTGTTGCGGTTTTTGCATGAAAGAATAATAAACATCCATACATTCACAACATTCTCACAAACTTTCGGGTCTCACAGGCTTTGTAGGCTAGGAAATAGTATATTCTACTGTTCTTTTATATCATTCTGTGCTATTGTGAACACAGCATTCTACTGTTCACATCATATTTTTACTTTTTTTTTATTAATATTAATGTGACTGCAACCCTAATTACACTCTTCCACAACATTTACCTATCTGATGATTATCGTTGGTTGTATTGTTAATAAGGTATAATGACACTGTACTTGATGAAAACTAATACTAAAATCCATACTCAGTAAGCAGCCAGGATCCTAAATACTCTCCATCTTCAGGGAACAGCAGGGCCGTGATGCACTCCTGTATGGCAGTGTCGACAACTCCCTTGCGGTATGTAAAGAAGTCTTTGATGTTCTCCTTGTCAAATGGTACATCGTAACGAGGGAACACTGCTTGGATACCCGTTGCCTCTTCCGTTGCAGGATTAAGCTGATCCTCAGAACCTCGGGCATCTGTAGCCAGAGATATAGCCATTTTTAGTTTGTGTAGTGTATCAACTTTAAAATAATACTGCTAGATGCTATCAATAATTGTTATCATAGTCACCATCTTGTATTTGTTTATACAGCAACTATTTATATGTATTACTATCCAATTAGGTAATGGAAAATCCAATGCTATAATAGGAATTATGTAGGTATGTAACGCCAATAATACCTTTTATGAACATAAGATATTTTGAAACACGAAATGTCTTTTTTTACTGCCAGAGGTACAATTTTTACCTGTGAGCCACAAAAACATAATCCAACAGGAATGTGGCAAATTACATTATTTTTAAAACATACCGGCAAAGGAAGACGTAGAGGAAGTCAAAGAATTTGCACCAGACAACACCGAGGGATTTACACTAGAAGGGGGTTTCCTTCTTCCCAAATTATCCGTATTATTAGTAGGATTACTTTCTGAATTCTCCGCCACGTTCGTGTCCGTCGACAGCTGAAGAGTACCGCCACGGAACTCCAAATCTTCATCCAGTAAATCACTCATTATGTTTTTGTAATACAATTTTTACTCAAATCACTGTTTTCGTTATAAAATAATAATTGCTCTGCGTAAATAATAAAATAATCGACCGAAGACGAACCGTGATAAGCAACGTCAATGTCAAATACGTTTCGATTTTCCGCTAACACCACTTTGTACTTGAAACTGTTGATAATTATTTTTGTAAGTACACTAAACATAGCTCTATGTAATTAAAAAAGATATTTAGGTACTAAAATGAATTATGAGAAAGTAGAAATCTTCCTCAAACAAATTATTATAAAAGAAAATAAATTTAAATAGTATCGACCAAAAGAACTAAACGCTATTGCGGATTTTGCTCTTTATAAAAAATGGCGGTAAATACCAAATATTTGAAGTTTCGATCTGAACGAGTGAGGTTTTGTGATAAATTGTATAGGTATTTAGTTTTTAATAAATTATTAACAAACCCATGTAAGTTAAGATTTTCATATAATTTTTATTTTAATACCCATTTTATTATTTTTATTTACGTTATACCTACACCATTTGGCGATAGTAGGTACTTATAAAGTGTAATTAAAACAGCAGTTCTTTTTAAAATATTTATTAATTTTATTAAGAAGAAATTTTATCATACAAAAATAATTGTAACTAAACAAGAAATCTAAGCTCTTATAACCTAAATTCTGGCACATAGGTATTTTCAATGTATGGCAAAACTTATTGAAACCGGTACCTTGTAAGCTAAGCTTAAGGTACGTACAATAGTTTCTATAGTGTAGTCACTATTTTTGCTTATGAATAGGTATCGTCAAAAATGCACTTAAATAATAATCTAAAACTGTACAGCTATACATATCTAATTGAATATAATACAAATACATATTACTCACTTATATAGTGTAAAACAAAATAATTGCATTTTCCAATGTAAGTAACTTTTTAACCTTGAACCCTCAATGCAAGTATCCGTATTTTTCATCGATCACTAATAAAGAACTAGATACACAATCCCATACAAAAGTTCGCTTCAAAACTGTCGCCAACTGCATTTAGGTACTTATACTTGAAATAAACATGCATTAATGTAAATTAAACCTTAAATGCAACTCATAGAGTTGTTTTCACAAAGTGATATACAAAATCTAAACATTTTTTGCATAAATCATAAGAAATTGAACCATATTCGCATGATTTTAAGTCGAATTTACAATGTGTCAAAAATGAGCAATAAAATTTAACGACTTCGGTTTTAAATACGATTTCATTTGGAGAAAGTTTTAAAGTTAATTTCTTAATAAAATATCAATATTTAAAATAGAATGATGACAATTATATAATGATAATATTATTATTTAACGAAAATATGAAATTCCATCCTTTTTTGCGTCTTAGATGTGTGTTTTTTGCAGTTTTTAAACGAGCACTGAGGCGTGTTTACCGTCGGAGCATTCGAGTGGTACTAAACTAAAACTACACCGCGATGTTGAGTTTGGTGGACTTTCAGTTAGGACATTTTTTTGTCACTGATTGTGTATCTAGTTCTTTATTAGTGATCGATGGTTTTTTATTAATAAAATCATTCCCTCAGCTGTCAAAACTTTTCTGACAGGTGAGAGATTTGACTTTGCATAGATAAAAAATATATATATGGTTCCTTACTTGTTACTTATTTCTATATATAGGTTTTATTATATGTATATTAATATACAAATGTATGAGTTACTTCGAGGAAACAAAGGAACTGTGCCCTATCAAGTCAATGACCCCATTAGTCATGATCTGCATTTGTAATGAGGAATACTATTAATCAAATGGTTTTTTGATGAATTATGCATATATAATTATCTTCAAAAGCAGCTCAATATTGATCACGCTAGTAACAGCTGCACCGGCTTGCAGGGCAGCGTGGTGGATACACAATACACTGGTCCATACAGTATACATCAGCTCCCTCGCGACCTTCCAACTCTCCAGTAGCCTCGCAGACTTGCCTGGAAAATAATAAAAAAAAATCTATAAAGTTAAAGAGTTTGTTTGTTTGAACGCGCTGATCTCCAGAACTGCTGGTTCGAATTGAAATATTTTTGCCTTTTTGTCTTTGTTAGTACATTTTTTATCGAGGAAGTAGGCTATCTATAGGCTATAAAACATCACACTACCATTTGTAGGAGCCGAGCAGCGAGAGAAACTACGCAACAGAAGCATGCAGTTCCATTGCTTGAAGTTAATCATAGATGTCGCTAGTGGTCTGTTATTAATATTTTTGTAAAAGAATTACTAATCGATTTTTGCTTTCTTTTATTGTGTTGTTATCGAACCAAAATCAATAGTTAACGTTTTAGGTTCGACTTATACTATTTACTTTCATATACTTTCATTGCAAAACCTAATTTATACTATGTATATAGAAGTGTCTATAATATACATATCAGGTACTTAGGTGGTACTCAATGGAACGAAGTCAAATGTTGTTAATTATAACCAATACTTACGGGCAGGTACACAATTCCTCTGGACAATTAGGAGGGTACCGAAGACAGTTGGTCTGACACCAACTCAGCATTCCCGGGAGTCTGCTGAAAGTTCTAGTCGGCACACACACTTGGTCCCTGAAACATTATTATTTTAAACGTTAGGTATGTTAGCCTAAATTAGTACATTTGGCGTTTTTATGTACACACCCATAAGTTGACCTGTAGCTAGAGGTTTTAGAAACCAGTCCGATTGGTGACAATAAATAAATAAAGTAGACATTAAAGGAAACAAGTTTTTGGTTGCTTCACCTTTCTCGGCGAAAATACGGTACATAAGCATTAATACGTAAGCTATTATGGAAAATTTTAAATTCCTATACATACAATCCTATACAGAAAACTATACTAGATTGATAAATCGAAGATCGATAGATTCAAATGCTAGGAGAGAGCTCAATTTAAAATTGGAATAATTGATTTCCACTTGAGAACTAGCAAAGATAGAAACATTATATGCATTCTTTATTTACACGGCTTATAGCATCAAATCTACAGGATTATGTAATAGGAACAGCAGTTCAGCGTCAGGGGTTCTTAAAATTCGAATAATGTCATAACTTAACGTCTTATGTTTTCAGAGGACCTTCAGCTTCTAGCAAAAGCTTAAACTTAAGCGTCTACTTCTAACAGATAAGGATATTATTATAAAACAAGATTCTCAATTCATTCACAGCACAGGGTCATGTTAGTCACAACTACGGAAGACTATACTGCTGTACATTCTTAATAATACAAAGAAAAGGAATTCTGGGTTGACAGCTTGTTAGTTACGTCATAATTTGTACACTAAGGATATGAGGTCCAAACTACGGAACACAACGTAAAGGGGGGTAGAAAATTTATTCACAAAGACACCGTCACTTCAGCCATAACCTTTAAGATCATTACAAGGACATGACAAAGTATACCTAATGATCGGTGGAACAAATTCCTCCACGGAATCTGTATCAATATCGTTGCTGAAAGAAAACGTTCAATATTATAGTGCACGTTAATGTCAGTGAACATGTAATTTTATACATTAAACATACAATATATTTAGGTTTTACCTAATAACGTACGATTCCTTTCGGATATCCGTCAGTTTCTCGCTGAAATATTAAGCCACAAGATAGATAAAATATTATATAAGGAATGTAGATATATATTGAGATAGATATACATAAAACATATACCTACAAGAAAAGAATAAAATGACAAAAAACACATTTATAGACAAAATAATACAAGAGTATATCGGTATGTAAAATTGTTGTGTTATCCCACCTGACGACCAATGGGTAGACATTTCTGGGCATGTTAAGATCCCTGTAGTATAGGAGGAAGGGATAGTCTCTTCTGAGATCTCCAGCGAAAGCAGGCGGAAGACCACCAGTGCTGGTTACCACACTAACGTCAGCGCAATTTCTAAAGGTCTCTGAACGACCACAACCGACCGCTTCTGTACCGTTTGCGCAAACACCCCACATGTTTCCTAAAAAATGAATAACCATATTATTACTATTTGTACGAACCGAACGAAAGAAAGAAAGAAGGAAAGAAAAAAAGAAAGAAAGAGTAAACACTTCGCTAATCTTACCAGTATAATATGTCCATTGCAGAACACATTGTGTACAAGTCACATAGGGAGGTAGCCGCACCCTGTATCTGAAGATTTCTTTTTTAGCCGTATCCAATGGGATTAGGAACCTGTCCTCCCTCGTCTCGGAAATATATAACGGGTATCTGAAAAAAAATAAGGATTTATAATCATAATTCCAAACCCACAAAATTTATACTAATTAAGAGAGAACTGGCTTTTAAAACAAGAAAACTGGCTTTGGAGTGCAAAAATAATGCCAAAAAAAGGAAATCAATGCCAGAAATCTGTTTTTAGCATATTTTCGGTACATAAGCTAAAGTCCTTTACTTATTTACCAAAATGTAGAATTACAGAATATGTTTTTAAATCTAAAGTTGCCCATTTACATTCTACCATTAAGTAGGTACATACTGCTGCTGCTGCTGCAGTATGAAAATATTTGTTGCACTAACCTGTCAAAGCATTCCTGAGAAGCTTCTTGCTTTGGATTATTGTTCGGACACAGCTTCATAACGAACGTTCCAAGATGGTTTGCTGTCAACTCCACTTCTACTTCGATTTCCTGTGGAATTTGATTAGCATCCTACTTAACCATCGCGATAGCTACGAACCAACTCGTCAAAATTACAGTCTTTTTTCTAGTACTGCACCAGTTAAATACAATGTCTGAATTATCAAATGAGAATTTTGTCGAAAATTATTTTTTTTTTCTGATTTACCGATCAATCGGACATTATCTACGAGTCAAATCAAAGCAGATGTGCTTATGCTGATTTTTAGATCTCACACTCCTTACTGCCTTACTCTTGCATTGAGAAGTTCATAATCTAGGTTTACCAAAGTTTATGTGTTCACTAACCTGGCCAACACTGTAATGTCTGGTGACGATACCTTTCCCGTACATACCACCTGCTTCATGAGGACGGGGCTCCGGTATGTGGTGCGCGTCACCGCACACACCACATTTTCCTTCATTTTGCTCCCATTGAACTGGAATAGATTTACAATTTGCATAAGCTATCCAATTTTGCACAGATCTCTGGTTCTTGACGAAAAATCTAGAAGTCTAGTCTAAATAACGAATTATTAATTTGCCTTCCCGTACCTAATTTAATCCATCACCATCATCATATTTCAACATTTTCAGCTAAGTAATTTATTTTATCTAACAAAATAAGCAATAGTTCATACAAATTACGTCCAAGCAAATTAGTAAAAATAAATACTGTTCAAAGTCTGGTGGCTAGTGGATTCAGATATTCTGAAACAGGCTTTAAGTGTCTACTTAGGGTACATTCAGTGAGATATGACATTTTAAATAAAACAGCGTAAATAATAATGCCCACTTTTCAAGTGCAGTCCTTGCACAATGTTGAGGTACCTATTAACATTGTGCAAAAGCTGCAAAACCCTAGGGATTTGTGCTACTGACTTTGAGAATCCACAATAGTCATAGTTTTTAAATAGATGATTAGGATTACCTACAGAATCCGATTAACACAAACGTGACTAGCATTAACTACTTTGTAAATTAACAAATGAAATAGACTTCTAACCTTGAATACTTTTATTGATAGGTCATTGAACCTTATTTTCCGTAAGATCGTTGGCTCCTAGCATCATTAGAGGAATCAATAGACTTAGAAAAAAATGTTTGCGGTAACTAACAAGCTAATGCAAGAATACCCTATCCATGCGGATGTGTTTGAGTCATGAAATGAAGGTGTGATAATCTCTAAGTACTTAGAACTCCATTGTAATTATGACTTCCAGTAAAAAAATAATCCAATAATTCATTGCAACTTTTAACAAAAGTTAGTCTGTAGTATTTTATTACACCTTTTTCGGTTGTTGGTAGGGGAAAATCGTCAAAAATGACTTCTCCCGCCCAGTGTGAGGCGAGAGGGAGTGTCAGACTCTTACTAAAAACCCCCCGTTCCCTCTACCGCTTTCAGGCCAAAGCCGTGGTACCTCATTGCGCACCCTGCAACTCCGGCTAAACACGATGCCTCTAGAAACTAATATATATAATAATCCATGCTTTACTATACTTACATACTAAAGATTGTTTTTAATATATTGAAATAAAATATGTAATTAACTTGGACTCTAAACAAGTAGGTAGGTACACTGACATTTACAAGTTAAGATCCAATTACTTTAACAACTCAAAAACTAACTTTGAATAATAATCTGACATGTATAAATACGGAAGTATCTTATCTAATCTTGTGGATTGTCAAAGATTGTTTTTATTTCATTGTAGATTAGCATATAGATCGATGTAATAATATAACAAAAACTAATGTAATCTCATAATCGCAAAAGATAGGCGCCACCAAAAAAAACCTTAATGTTTATAAAAACGAAATAACCTACCTTAAAAATTTTGACACAGTAAGAGGCATGCAAAAATCTAGGTAGTCAAGTAGATATACTCGTAGAAATTTCTGCGAATATTAATTATTCGCAGATAGATATTTACTTTGACTTTATTTTTTAAAACATTAATTACCTGCATATCCTCCACAGAAGAGCTCGTTATCGTTGTAATTGACAGGGTTAGGGAATCCGAACCTCCACATAGAATTACGTGCTGGTGGGTCCATCAATCTGCCGTGACCTTCGGCACCACGGCGTGCACTTCCTAACATCTGGAATATAGGAAAATTTGAAGAATTTGAATAAATGGGAAATATAACTTATATTGTGATTAACGGCATGTGATTAAAAATTATTACCGATCTAACAGAGCTTAGATCATAAGTATGTATTTTTCTATCATACATTATCTACAAAGAGTGTTTATATCGTCATTGATTACCTACCTACCTATGTGTCAAAATTAGGTCAGTGAAAATCCCTAAGAGTGGATCTCCTGTAAGCCAACTCTAATATCTACATACATATGTTGATGAAAACAATTCAAGGGTCAAAAACCACTTGTACATTTTCAATTAATTAAAAAACATTTAAGTTTAACTTTCTCACCTGTAGTAAAAATATCCAAAATGTGAGGAAAGACGTCCCTCCCGACTTATGCCTTCTCAGTTCCATCTGAAAAAGAAACAGCAAGTTTTTAATAAAAAATAGAAAACAATAATTTTATTGTAATCTACCATCTAAAAACATGTTTTCCGCGGCATCATTTGTGCCTGGCGAGGCAAAATTCCAAATTCGGTATATTTTCAATGCACGAAATAATCAAGTATCCATATTCTGTTTATTGTATTTTTATTCGTATTTAAGACGACAATTTGAAAATTTCGCAGGAAGTAAGATGCTGACAAACCGTTACAAACACCTAAACTAAACGCAGATTGCGATTATTTTTAAAATTAAATTACCGTTTTTTGCAGCTGTGTGGAAGAATGCGACCGACGACGCGCTCACGTCGTAAAATCAATAGATTATTTTTCTTAACGCCTTATTTTAAAGTAATACCAACGGTACACCAAGAAATTCGATATCATCCAGCATGGTCCTGATGTTTCGTATAATAAAATGTGATTTTATCGCTTTTAGCAAACATTAGTGTCGGCTAAACGAGCACAAAGTTACAAGATAAAAGGTAATTTATTTTTTATGCAACAACGGCACAGTTCTTGAATAAATTAAGTTGCGATTTTCATTAAATTTTCTATGAAATATCAGTGGGACTATTTAAGTAAAGGAGAGAAAAATATACTTAATTAAGAAGGCTACTAAACTACAATCGTCTACAATTCACAAAGATCAAACTAAATAAGTATCTTATCTAGTTAGTTGTGAAACACCTAGATTTTATGCATCTATCAATGAAACTTCTGTAACTACTTATGCTTTAAAATTATTTTCGCATTTAAAACATTGAGGTTGACAAAGAATTCCTCTTAGAAATCACACATCCATATATAACAAAAATATAGTCCACGTTTGTCACTAATAAATAAGGCACGGATACGTGTTTAAACAAATGAAACAAAGCGAATGAACTTTACTCTTAATGCTTTTAAACAAACAAGTCCAAAGCGAAAACACTCATAAATCATGACAGAAGAAAAAAACACATAGGTATTATTTTTAAATCTTAATTGTGGTTAAAAGACCCCATTATAATGTGCTAATCTTTTTTTACAGCTCTGATTTTGAATCTTTTTTATTGTACATTTTCCTTATACATCTGTAGAAGTTCATGTAAGGCGTATACGTATAATAATATACATATGTAGTTACATAAGTAATCTTGGTAAATTAACCCTCATCATCATAGCTGGGGTTGCAGGGTAAGCGCAATCAGGCACCGCGTCTTGGGCCCAGAGCAGGAGAGGTTTTTAGTCAGCAAGAGTCTGACACTTCCTCCTGCCCGACCCTGGTAAGGAAGAAGTCATTTGACGATTTAAAAAAAACCCTCATCATCTGTCCCGAAAGCAAAATGGACCAATTTTCCTTATGAAGAAATGATAACATACATAAACTTAAAGCTAAGTTTTGTTATTCACGTGTCTCAACCGCAGCCATAACATCATCGTCAGTAATCGTCATGTCAATCGTTTACTCATTCGGTTTTTCGCGAACGAGGTTACCCACCGCGTACCATTTGCATAGAATGGATAATTGAATTGTGACCTCAACGACATATTACCAATTTTGGATGAAGCAATTTTAGCATCACATGTGCCAAAAATAGAGTTCGATTTTACTTGTCGGGGTTGAGAAGATACCTGGTAAATGTGTGGTACAAATGTCAGGAGGAAGCGGGACTACGTTGCATAGATTAGATACTTAGGTACTTAACATACAATCCAAATCCAAACTAATCTATTTCACTGTCTGTCTGTACGTCTGTCTTTCTCTCTGTCTGTCTTTTCTTCACGCCTAAACTACTGGACCCATTAGTGTGAACTTTGGTACGGACATACCAGGGGTGGCTGGAAAGTTATCTACCTAACATAGAAAGAAAAGACATAGGAAGCTCATTTTTTTTGTTTTTCAATATAGTCCCCTGGTACCTTAATGCAATTATTACATCTGTCAATAAGCGACATTCAACCGTCAAAAAAATATTTCTTGGATTGGTTGTCAAAATGGCCATCCACAGCGGCCTTTATTTCTTCATCGGTCGAAAATCGCCTCCCTCTTAGGCTTTTCTTCAAATTTCTTAATAGAAAATAGTCAAAGGGGCCAAATCTGGACTATAGGGTGGATGGTTTAGTTCCGTGAAGCCATTCTTGCTTAAGACTGACCTTGCATGTAAAGCTGTGTGGACCAGAGCATTGTCGTGCAAAATTAAAACTCCTTTGCCGAGTTTGCCTCTTCGTTTTTCTTTTATGGCTGCTCGCAGTTGGTCAAGTAAGCTGGCGTAGTAAGTTGCGTTCATCGTAGTATTTTTTGGTAGGTTATCTATCAAAAGAATCCCCTCGACATCCCAAAAAATTGTTGCCATAAGCTTGCCTGCTGATGGCCGAACCTTAAAATTGCGCGGTGGCTTCTCCCCTTTAAATTTCCACTGTAAAGACTCCTCTTTGCTTTCGGTGACCCATTGGCGAATCCAGGTTTCGTCGCAGCTTACTATTCTAGAGATAATTTCTACTTCGCTGTCTTTTACTAGGTCCAAAAATGCCTCACCACATTCGATGCGTTGTGGTTTATCAAAGGGCGTCAGCATTCTCGGTACCCATCGTGCGCTTACCTTTATCATCCCTAAATGTTCGTGAATAATAACGTGAACACGTTCCTTACTAATACTGACATCCCTAGCGATTTCCCACTGCTTGACTCTCCGATCTGCGAGTATTATTTTTTCCACTCGAGTCACCGTGTCTACTGTGACTGCAGAAACCGGCCGTCTGCTACGGGGATCGTCTTCCAGACTCACACGGCCATGTTTAAATTGTTTAGACCAAAACTTAATAACAAAATCGGAAGGACATGAATCACTAAACACATTGGACATTCGTTGTTTTATTTGCGAAGGAGTATTTCTTTCTTTAGTTAGGACTTTAATCACGGCACGCTGCTCAATTTTAAGCATTTTATTATTTTCATCCGACATGTTTACTATGCTAGTGGACTATTCGTAATGAAAACAATTAAAACAAATGAGTACTATTATTTTCAAATAATGAATACATAAGTATTAAAGCTTCATAGTGGCCCGTATCATTTTTGTAACTTTATTGAACAAAGTAGATTATATATCAGCCACCCCTCGTAGAATACCGAAAATCCCTCGAGATCGGGAACTATGTGGGTAAAGGAAGCTATCCCATTACGGAATAAGAGGTGCATCTCTGGACCTTCTTACCTCATACCTGAGTAATAGGGTTCAGAGAGTTGAAGTAAACGGAGTGGTTTCTGCCGGATCTGTTGTGAGGATGGGTGTTCCGCAGGGTTCTATTCTCGGCCCGTTTTTATTTCTTATCTATATTAATGACTTGCCTTACCTTGTAAGGGATAGACACGAGATAGTGCTGTTTGCTGATGATACCTCACTATTATTCAAACTCAGACGACGACAGTTAGTTATTGACAATGTAAACAGTGCTCTCTCAGAAATAGTTCACTGGTTTGGTGTTAATAACTTATTACTAAACGAAACTAAAACTAAATGTATTAAATTCACAACGCCAAATGTTAAACAGGTAAAAACCAGTGTGCTTGTCAAGGGCGAGGAGTTGAGTCCTGTAGATACAACTGTCTTTTTAGGTATAACCCTGGACGCTAAGCTCCAGTGGGGCCCACATATAGATGGCTTGTCGAAGAAGCTCAGTTCTGCAGCATATGCCGTTAAAAAAATTAGAAATTTAACAGATGTAGATACAGCGCGGTTAGTTTATTTTAGTTATTTCCACAGCATCATGTCATACGGTATTTTGATGTGGGGGAATGCTGCTGACATTCAGTCTATTTTTGTTCTGCAGAAAAGGGCTATTCGATCAATCTGTAATCTTAGTCCGAGGCATTCGCTCAGAGAATTATTTAAGGAAACTAAGATAATGACGGTTGCTTCACAATATATTTATGAAAATGTAATTCATGCTCATAAAAACAAAAGCTTATTTAAGAAGCATAGTGATATACATAATATTAACACGAGGGGGAAAAACAAATATGTTGTCCCCGCCTCCAGGCTTCAGAAAATAAGGAGTTCGTTTAGATGTCAATGTATACGCTTTTACAATAAAATTCCTAGGGATATTCAAAATTTGAGCCTCAATAATTTTAAAAGTGTAATAAAGGCTAAACTTTACTGCAAAGCATTTTATAAAATAAAAGACTACTTAGAAGATAATCAGGCTTGGGAATGAGCCGCTGTAACTTCTGCACAGGTCATGTTGACATGTTTGTAACATAAGTTACGCTTTTTATATACAATTTGACATTACGTTTATTATTATTTATTTTTTTTAACAATGAAATTATCACCTATCGTGACATTTTTTTTTTTATTTGACATTTTTTATTTTATTTATTATTTTTATAATTATTTATTGACATTATTAATATTTTCTATTATTGTTAGTGTAAGGACCGTGTGAGACTTGCCGCGCTTTTGGACTACCAGTTATCTGCGTTCTGACAGTTTGAGTACTTGCGCGACCCAACCAAATGTTCTTTAGATCGGTATTGTTCGTCGGACAACTCAGCAGCACTTGCTATGCTGGTTGCAAACTGACACTTGCGTGCCTGTCTTCAGAACGGGTCCACTTAAACTGGTGTGGTTCTTTCATCAAAAGACCACTACAGAATCAACTTGCACGGTTCTCTCACATTATGTTATTTTTACATTGTCTGGACTTGAAAAGAGACTGACCTCTGAGTTTGTTTCGGCATTTCTTCTCAGAGTAGTCAGATAGGAAATGCCGGCTTCATCTAGTTTTTTACATATAAATTGACGTGTAAAAGTGCCGGTTTATGGCCTATTTGCAAAAATAAATTCATTGTTTCATTGTTTCAAAACCAAAAATCTGGAAAGATTTCAAATTTTTGTATATACTTTTTATTGTCATATCTACCAATACATATCATGACATTTAGGTTCAGCTAAGTTATAAATTTACCTACTGTTCTCGCTA